AACGTGCGGTTTATTATCGACCAGTCAAATCCTGTTTTGCCGATGTTGCTGGCAGTCACGACGATGCAGTCGAGAGACAATACCATGAAGATGACAGCACCAATATTTTTTTCAAGTATAATAGCAATGTGATATCAATGTCTAATTTATTAATGGCAGAAATTTTACGAAAATATTTGGAAACAGGTACGAATTATTATTTGCCCGAATATAATTTGTGATCTTTATTACAATCCGTGCATAATATGAAATAAAATAATTCGCATATATATTAAAATAATTAATGGAAGAATAAAAACGGGAGTCTAGATTATGCAAATGAATCGATTAACGTTACATAAATATTCATCCGCGACTATGTGATCCGTGTTACTATCCAAAACTCGTATAGAAATGTAACTGCGAGTGCTCACATGTGACTGCGAAAGAGACTTGACACTCAATCAGGCTGTCAATCTATCCATTCGCATCCTGGAATGCGGGTATACGATTCTCAGGCCAGTTCATGTGGGCGCCGTCGCCGTTCGGCGAGATTTAGATTCCCGGTAGAATTGGCCATCGTGTATCTCTCACTCTCTGCCGCATTGCCGTGCGTTGCCATGCTAAATACTCTCTGCGGCTACGGGCGATTTAACTGTAATACAAATTCCGTCGTGCATCTAAAAAGCCCTGGCAGTAGCGTGAATTAGCATTTGGCATACGCTCGCCTCGATGTGATTGCAATCACGACCGAATTAATTCACGCGTATGCTATAAATGTGTATTTATACTATACCCAATATGTATGTTCATATAAATATATATAATTAATATTTATGTGTATATCGTGCAGATAATTTATATATATTTATTATATATGTATTTAATATTTGTGGCCGCTTTGATGTTTGAGATTAGGAGCCAGTCAATAATTTGCGACAGGAATCAACTTTAATATATGCTAGATATTATGCATAATGTGACGAAAACAATTTGTTTTTTTTTTTAACATGATGACTCGCGAGATATATTTATTTGTTAAATTTACATGTGTGAATTATATTTTGCATAATTTTTGCATGATACCAATATAATTATCATAATATGCACGAGTGAGTTTGGAGAATAAGTCTGATTCATCGGAATGAACTTCTGGTAATCAATGATCTTGTGGATATATACGGGCACTGTCGCTTCGGTATTTCCACGGTCTGTGTAGATGCGAAGTTCTCGATGTGCTTAAGGTTTAATATTTTCATGGAACTCTCGTTCATCGGAGACGCTTGGCGCTCCAGTTTCCGCTTTTACCGCGTTGTAAGTACGGGTGCTTCAATTCGAACAAACTTGGCGAGTAGGCCGTAACGACATAATGTGGACTAATACGCGGCAATTTGATAAGACTCCGAGTTTGAACTATTTCAATGAGCACGACGTCGTCTAGTAGTAGCTGTTCATCATATCCAGTAGAAGTAACTTCGCAGACTAAATTCAGAAATGTTATAACTTGCAAAAAAATTGAGTTGTTATAGCTTTAGTTTTCGCGAGATTTTTTTGAACCATTTTAAAAACCAGACAGCAAAAGAAAATAATTGTGAAATTAAATTCCACTCCGATCTGCGACTTTATAGCTATTCGAGTCGTCTCGTCTCTCTCGCGTTACGCGATTTGACACTTGAATTATGTTTCATACTTGACTCGTACGTTCATAAGTTCGTATTGTAACTTTGCATCCGCAAGCCACATTGCGGGCTTGAAATAATTATGTGACAAGAAGCGGAAGTGCGATCGTACGAGATGTAATTCGACGCCGATGCAACGATGAAGCGTTTCTTTGTATCTACGACGTGTAGTATGCGTTTGATACATACACGATTGCATCAATAATCAGACGCGCCACGCCAAGTCGTGTCATCTGTCCATTTCGAGACTATACAATATATGGGATTTTTTAGCGAGATTGCGAGTGGGCGACGCCGGTATAAATCAGATAATGACTTGACAGTAGCGACTGGATCGACCCTTTTCATGTAACAATGATTTTTCCGTGTGTCTATTATTTAATGAATGAGATTCGCGATAACGTAAGATCCAGAGAGAGTAGAAACTCGGGACTTTTCCGAACAGAAATGAGCGTTTAGAAATAACGTTTGACATTTCTCCGAAGTTGGGCGGCTCTGTAATTTTTCATATGATAAATGGATAGTGACAATGATATTTTGATGTGATTTGATAAAGCTTATAACTCTGACTTTTACACGGAAAAAAAATTTTCGCTACCATTGCTAATCATGGTTTGCAAAATAAATTTCTAAACTACAGCAAAACGGTTTGCTGTTGCACTTAATAAATAGGTGTCACAGCTAAGATGTTCGCTGTCCATATATTACGACTGAAATCTAGTTACTACACGCAGTTTTTAGCTACGGCAGCTAATTTTTTTTTTCCGTGCAATTATTCGTTTACGCGTATATTTTATTAAATCGAATAGCAGTGGAGATCATATTATCAAATAATATTATCGCATACATCCGTAGGATGCTGGGGCTCTCAGACGGCGCTTTAAAGCGAGAGTTTATAATTCACCGCGGAAACTCTCGCGGATATGACAGCATTAATTAGCACTTTCTCAACAAATAGAGCAAAGGTTATATCTCGCTCCCGCAACTACGTCGATGGAAAACGCGGTTCTAATTTACCGTAATCGGAAAATCAGACGGTTATCTTCGCGTTTGTTTTGTGTTGAATCCCGTTTGTTTGCATGAAAGTGCATTTAATCGATTACTTCCGCCGTGAGAGAGCAGGGTGGAGGAAAGGAGGCGGAAGGAATAACGGCGGAGGCTGCAACGTGGGTGTATGTATCGCCCATATCGATCTCCCTGTATATAACGCGCCCGAGAGTAACGCGGCTAGAAAGTCGGATATCGATGACATCGGCCAAAACGCACTTCCACAATACATCGTCGGATGTGTTCATAAAAGTTCGCGGAAAAATTCACTCATCGTTGAAACTTGCGAGATCAACAAGGAGCAAGTTGATTCGACGAAACGAATTAAACGAAACGCATGAATAATCAGGATGATTTTTTAAATGTTTGCAGAAATGTCAGATCGATCGAAATGCAATTTTGGATTATATTTTATTATAAGCGTTATCATTATTATTATTACATTATTATTTCTATATTAGACTGTGATTTAATTTTTAATCTATGCATGTCGTATTGTCAAAAGTGGCGCGAATTGGAAAATCTATTTTGCAGGAGTCCATACGAGCGAGTTATCAATTTTGTTAATACAGTGTAGCGCTAATCGAGAGGCATTTGCCAAGACGTTCCCACGGGATTTCGCGAAAAAGTTCGCTCATCGCGGAAACCTGTTCCCGTGGATGGAATAAAAGCCGCTCGTTTCTAGGAACGGATGACGGTGCCGATTAAAAGCGGAACGACTCCGAGCGCTATGAGCTGCGTAACGCGACGCGAGTTTACGGTCTATAACTTCCCTCTTACATCGGCCGTATGATAAGGTATGCTCATGCGACGGTTTATAGTTCATTAAAATTTTTTCTGCCGGCTCGGAAGACGGCTCTCGAATAGCGAGCGTAGCGGTTTCGCATGACTTTCGATTCGCTCGTAAAGAGGGACTTTGTTGCGCGAGGCATTTCGAGATCTTTTGCCAAACGCAACGACGTTAATAGTTATCCTTGAATTTCGGCATCTCGAGATCGCGTTGCGAGTTTTCCACGTTCAAATCTTGGAATTCGGAAAAAATAATAAAATTTACAAGTTGTATCAAAAGCATAATATAGCGATAGTAATTAGTAGTTTATTTTGTGCTTTGTGACAATATACGTTTCTTTGAGAACAGATATACATATATAGAAAATGCAACAAAATAATAAGAAAGTAATGCAGAGTATTTAAATGAGAAAACAGAAATGTCAGAGAAGAAAACATAGTTGTGTAATTAGAACCAGGAATAAGAAAAGAAGAAAATAATAATACTACGCAAAGGTGCGGTTGTAAAAATTTTTCTTTAAAATAAGAAAGAGATATAATATAATTTAATAAAAGTATATATACATATTATAACGTAGAAAATAATATAATGTATACATATAATGCAAGCTGTGGCAAATAATACTTTATTATTCGTATATTCTTATTTTTCATATTTCTCAAAGACGTAATAATGAAAGAAAGAAAGATCTTTCGAAAAAATTTTTTATCCTAAAAATAAAAACCTTAGTAAATTCAATTGGTGAATCCAATTAAAGATTCTAAAATAGAATTATCTAAAACGAAAGAGATAAAATTCTGTGAGTGGGCGATAAATAATTAAGAACGGTTGTATAGCATCCTGCGTTTCCAATATTGAGACAGAAATCGCTGCCTTCGAGGGATACCCGACAGCAGAGAAATTCACTTAGCCCTAGCTCTTTAGTCGTATCCTTTAGCAGCGGACGAAAATTACGTATGTGAGTCAGGGCTAACGCGAGTAAGTAGACGAAGGAAGGTGCGTGGATGTGATCAGGTGAGGGTCGTGGAAGGAAACGGGGCGACCGAGCGAGGTCTCGACTTCTCGCGTTGGCGATGCAAGTCGGGTCACGAACACCAGGAGAACCATAACGGAGGAAGGAAGAGGGAAGCAAAAAAAAAAAAAGAAACGAACGGCGGGGTTGGGCGCGGATATATAGATGGTAAGATAGACGGCGGGGAGGTCGCTAGTGTGGAGGACACACAACGACATCGGGGGAAACCGGGGGGAGAAGGGCGACGGGGGTAGTGTATCCATCGCGCGTCGAGGGTGGAGAAGGACCTGCGCGCGAATTTCCCGCGTTCGTCCAACCTCATATTGATCCCACCCCAGCGAACTCCCTCGTTTTCTAGGTAGAGAGGTGGAGACGCGGCACGAGGGGAGAGATCCAGTAAGGGTGGTTCGTCGGCATATAACGCCGGACCGGGTGAGCGAGCGAGAGACGAAGGGAGAGTCGCAGAATCGTGGGCGCTCCGAGGATGGTCCAGCGAGCGCGCGGGAGTCGTCGTGCTCTCTGATCGGGATTCGCAAACGTGTCGTTGCTGCGTCACTACCGTCATCGTCGTCGTCGTCGTCGTCGTCGTCGTCATCATTGTCGCCGTCGTTGTCCTTGTCGGCGTCGTCACTGTGTGTCGTGGTGTCGTGCTCTCGTGCTCTCGTTCTCGAGGAAGTCGGCCCGTTTTTCCGCGTTCACAACGGCGTGCCGCTCCCATTCGTTCGAAACTGCCGACGAGACGTGTTCGCGGCGCGTGCGCTTGTGTATGTGTGTGGTGGAGAAGTTTCGGAAAAGTTCCAAACGTGAGGAATCTTGAAAAAGTCAAAGCGGCAAAAGTGCACGGATGTACGAGTGTCGGTCGACGACACCGTTGTTTCGAAACCGCACTTGTACGGGCCGGTTACAGCATCGTCCTTCACCGTGGTTAATGAGATTTTCCTTTCTTTCTGTAATATATATCTGTAAGATTATGGCATAGAGGAGATTGCCCAGCAAATTTCATCGATCGGGACTGACCCCAACTTTGCTGTCTAGATTTACGATCGGGATCAACCGACACGACCTCGCGAGAGGTCATCGCCAGCAGGAAAGTGTATAAACGCGAAAGCATTTACGAGGCTCCCTGTGCTTCGCGATTTTTCTGTTTCGCGATTGTATACGTCCGTTTTATTACCACTTTATGACGAGAAGACGAAGTTGAGGAAGAAACTGCGTAACATACGAAATCAAGTTTGCCAATCCGGTTCACGACTATCTTTAAACCGAGCAAACTTGTTTTAATTTCCTTAATTTCCTGTGAGAGATCTATGCCTATAAAATTATTCTTAAAAGGCAAGAGGAAATAACATAAATATTGGTTATAAAAAATTGAAAGACTATATATATTATATACACTTTATCATACAAATCAAAAATTAATTATGTACATATATAAATTACATTTACAATTTATGTATGAAATCGTATTGATTTGAGATTGTGTTTGACTAATTAAATTGTTCAAGAGACGTATGTCGCTTTGTATTCAAGCGGCATGAGTCTCTTGAGGAAGAGAGGAACAGAGAGTTGCAAATTAGTTCTGAAACTATACCCGTTATTGAGAAACAGCCTTAGACAGCAACCGGCTTTAAAATAACTCTTAAATTGACCTGTCAGTAATCAAGCAATCATGTTGAAATGATTCGCCTAATTAGACCGAAAATTGCAGTTGCGACTTTTCAGCTGCTACTGTTTAGCGTAAATACGAATTTATCGCGATCACGTTGCTATTCCGAATAATTTTTCGTCTCGTGCATCTTTTACGTTTTTATGCATGCGTCGACTCGATTGCACGTGCGATCGCGTGCGAGATACTTGCGTGGATTTATTATACTAACGATCGCGCGGGTCTATAGCGATCACGTCGCAGCCGTGACCGATGTAGCAACACGCTCGGGATAAGCTACGTGGCCTCGTTTGGCGGTCAAAAAAAAAATCGATTTTATTTAAGTTATTTTTTTATTCAACGTCAAATATGTTGTCAAAGATGCAAGTTAAATTTCAATGATTAGAGAATAGGAAAGGGGCCGGGATGTTTTGAGGACTTTGGGAAAGTTGGCACGAGCGTTGACGCGTAGCAGAAAGTAAGTTGGATGCGATATAAACAGGGGATTACCATCTGTCGGATTTAATGAGCTATAATATGGTATAATACTCCAAACGGCGCTCTTAGTTTTGCAAAATATACTATGCAACCGACATAAAGCCTGTCACCATTGCGTTATAATCGTTGTATTTATTGCCGCGGATAAATTGTTTGTGCAAATCTCGCATTTTTATCGTCGTACGCGGCAACGACAATTTATAACACGTTAGTAAATTCTATTTTAACAATTAAACCGATTAAACACACGCGTATAGTTCGTTTAATTCCACATTTAATTATAGACGGATTACGCTTCTTTAATTAAAATTATCTCGGATTCATATCTCCGTCCGTTTATTACAGATTAAACTTATTACTTGCCATAATCAATAAAATTAGTAGTAAATTTTATTATTACATTAGCAGATCATACACATCGTAATAAAATATTAAGAAACATGATCGAAATTTTATCTCTCATCGATTGAATTGATGAGACTTTTTGATTCTCTGTGATAATTAAATGCTAAATGAAATATGTATCGGTTGAAATACATTCTCTATCTATTATCTAGCATTATAAATTTTATAGTTTTATTATACGGAATCCAGTCCCAATAAATTCCAACACCGAGCAGGAATAACTCTTGAGAATTTTCGGTACGATTTGTTATTCCCTGTCAGTATTTTTCGAGGTTTGCCACAGAGACACCGGAACGAAACGAAACTTCCCCGTAGGAACGTAGCTGGGAATCGACATGGGAGACATATCGGAGGTTTCGCCCTCGCCAACGATCGATCGATCGACCGACGTCCACGGTCGTCGACGTCGTCAGCATCTCGCTCTCGCAACAAACCCGGAATCTCGTTCCGCGCGTGTAGATTCAGACTCGCTCGTAAACACATATCCGAGATGTATAAAACATGCCGACCATCGGCAAGACCCGCGATACGAAGCCAGGTGGCGAGCGCGAAAATACATACAAATATCCGAGCGTGACTCAAGCGGACCCATTTACGATACGTTCGCGCCGCAGATGCGGGACCGTTTTATCTGCTCAGACGCAACACGCGCATTGTCTAGGAGAGATCTACGAGTATTACGAACGACTACGAGAATATCTCAGACCTGAAAAGAATAAGGTATCCACTCAACATTTTAATATTTAATTGCGACCTGATGTCTGATCGGCTTCTAAAAGCACGAGCAAAGCGGATGAAAATTTTAAAACGGCTCTATATAAATCCGTCAGTAAAAGGAATATGGAAGAAAGGATATGTAATAGGGGTCTCTCTTGAAACGTTTCTTCGACTGATGAAGGTCTCGAAGAGACAATTAAATCATTAACCCTTGCCTCGCGTAAAGTGAATCAACTGTGCCCATATTATCATGTTTGAAACAGGCGCTTTGGATCCATTCGTGTAATTAAGATTCGTTTAATATAAATTATTAAGTACGTCCGTGAGAAAATTAGTAGACAAGTACTATATGATTAAAATTTGAAACAATTGTTTGCCGCACAAAGTTGAGCGTTTATTATCCAAAAAAAGGAGCGTTTTTTAAAACTCACTCGAGTTTTATTTAATAAGCGTCTTTGTGAGAACAAAATACGAAAATGAAAATTTTTTAATAATTCCCTTCGCGTATAAATTTTTTTTTTTAATTAGAATTTTGAAAAAACTTTATTTTGTCGAAAATGTCATTTTTTATTAATTTTATTTTTGTATTTCGGTACAATACATATTTTAATAAAATCTAAAACTGTTTTGATTATATGTAGAAAAAAATGAAAGAGAAATCGTGGGATCGTGAGAACAATCATATGCGCGGTGGACACCGTCGTGATAAATCATTAACCTGGCGTATTAATTGGTCATGCTCAAGCAAATTCCGGCTGGTGGTTTTGATTTATCGTCTGGCACTAATCTCGATCGATCGACTGGCGATCGATTTATCGCGACTCGCGAATCGGGTGCAACAGGCAGACCCTCGGTATGGAAGCTCGAAGCAATGGAATTTGACGCGTGGTCGATATAGGCGTAAATAGTTTTGAGAAAAAAAAACGAAAAAGCGCAATATACATGATATATGGTGTGTGTACAATATATATATACGGGAAAACATCGCGGTTGGCGACGAGACACGTGCGCGTTCGCGCATTGTCGCGAAATTAAACAAACATTTTTGCTTCGCATATTTTTATATTGCAATCTTGGATTTGAATTTTACGCGAAATATTTTGTTTGGAAAATAACGCTCCGTCGTCGATAAACATGCATCTTCTGCGTCGAGATCTTGACAGTTTAGGGATAAAAAAAAGAGAAAACGAAGAAGAAAAAACTGTTTGCGACAAATATGCCTTATGTGCGACATCGATTTCTCACTCGGTTCCATTACCCGTTCAAGCTCCACAGGTTACGCGATGTAAATTAGGCCGACCCACCCGTCCAGTATCGAAGTGCATTCTATGTACAGTACGAAATAAAACTGCCACGGTCGCGCGGACGCTATCTCTATTTTTCCTTGACACGTGTACGTTATAAAGCGCACGCGATAGTCTTTTTAATATTATACTGTTTGTAGTTTCCGCGAAATGGTGTTTGCATCTGGGATTAGACATTTGCCGCGGTCCATTTGATAACTATACACGTATCTCTTACATATTCGTGCCTTACATTATTTTTTAATTTCTCTTTTATTGCGACTTGTATGTATTTTAGGTACATTAGCACAAAAGCTAGAGTATTTAATCCTATCAAACGTGAAAAGTCCCAGTTCTCGTGAAAAATGCATTCCGGAAATTTCCAGCATGCGCAATTCGCCGGGCTTTTATACAGAATCCACCATAATCCCTTCACGTGCCACAAATGGGCGCAGTTTGTCTTCGCCGTTTCGTAACGCTC